TTGTCAGCTGCTACTTGGGTATCGAGCCCCCGACTGCGTTATTTTATTATTTTTTCTTCGTGAAAAAGGTTGGCACAATTTCTTTCATCCTTTTCGCTCGTTATGATCCCCGCCTCTTCTGCGACCTATCAAATCCATTAGATTGGTCGCGTAGATATTTCTTCATCTGATCCCGATTACCATGGTTCTTCCCCACCACTCCCGTATCCGAGACTCCATTTCAGGAGCCCGTGCCTAGCAACCTCCAATCCGAGGTGGAGACGGTAAATAGTTTCTTTCGGCACTCTATGCTCAATGTAGAGAAAGTGGTAAATTCTCTCCTTCTCATGCTGGGTTTTGGCTTGGCAGTTTCGAGCTTGCCCATGACAAGTGTCCGAGATTGTGGTGATGATACGGCATTTACGTGTTTTGAGCGTATTTACGAATTTTCTTTTTTCCTCTTTTTTCGTTTACGTTTGGTTTTCTTACTCTTGTTTCTTTTTATTCGTTGTGTCAGAGATGAGTCTATTTAGCAAGCTGAGGAAGAGGGTTGGTTCGAACGAGCCTACCGAGGCCTCCACACTATGCTCCTGGTCACCCGTCAGAGGGGCGGAATCCCCCGCTGCTACTCCAACGACCACTCTTGTGCTTGCGAAAACTCAGGGGCTTGGTGCGGCTCATGGCAGGGCAATCGAGAAGCGACCCGCTGCAAGCCATCCTCCTCGGGATCCCTCGGCCAAGCGACCTATCAGTGTACCGAGACCCGTTGTTCCTACCATTCCCGTTCCTTCTTCTTTTTTGGCGCCCTTGGATGGGTAGCAAGACGAGCTCGTGGACTTCTATGCTGGTCTCATCTCTCCTCGGGATCGAGAGTTCTTGCAGAACTTTTCCGAGGGTGCGATGCTGGAGCGCACCTCCCGCTCCATTGCCTTGGCCCAGGTATGAATTCTTCTCGATGTAGTGTTGGGCTCGTTTGTTCGCTTATTCTTATTGTAATGGTTGGTTTATGTTTTAACGTAGTTGACGGGGTTCGTGGCCAACCGTGCCTCTGCGCTGAAGGGCGCTGAGGTCACCCCCGAAGTTGCTCAAGGATGTGGAGACGGTGAACCATATATGCATGAAGCTTCACGACCATAATGAGCAGCTCAAAAGTAGCTCTAAGGCCTCGAATGAGTCTCATATAGGGTCATCGTCATTATCTCCGTCATCAGATGGTTCCAAATTCACAAGACTGTTTGTCCCAAAGGAGTCTCATATAGGTTCATCATCATCCAAAATGTTCCGTCTCGTCCCACTCGACTCACCAACAAATCCCCATAAATCACCACAGTTAATTGTATAGGGATCTCTGTGCACCTCTCTTGCTCCACTAGTCTCATAATAGTTCTCGAACCCTAAGTTGGGGATGTCTTGTTCGCCGCAATAAAATTGGGAATCACTTATGGTTGTGAATAATTTGGTTCATTCAAATCGATTGCCTCTTCACTCACTTGTTGTGGGGCACTATCAATGTATCTCGGTTCCTCAACAAATACTTCGATTGAGTTGTTCCCTTCTTCCGGATCGATATACATTTGTAAACTTTCATTTGTTGTCATCTTGGTATTCATTTCCTTCATTCTTTCTCCATTTAAAATATATGATTTACAACTCACTCTTACTCCAAACTGATTAATATCGACCACTAGGCGGTGATACAATTCCGACAAAATTGATGATACAATTTCGACAAAATTGAGTAAAAGACAAGTCACGTTTAAATTCGAAATGCAGTTTTTTGGACAATCCTATATCTCGCTACCCAATCATCACGTGATCTCCAAAGTACACTTACAATGTAACATTATTTTTAGTCGCCATCAATTTTCAAAAGATTAAGGAATAATTAAAAATTATCGATTTCAATTTTATTTTACACTAACATATTTTCTAAAGACACTAAACAACTCATCAATCATTAACACTAAAATATTAAGCATATAAAAAAAAAAATCATCAATCATAAACCCTAAAATATTATGCATATAAAACAAGTCATCAATCATTAACTATACACATGGTATAAAATAATTTAATAGTTCAGCACATGTTTATAAAATAATCAATAACAAAATATATGATATAAAATAATTAATAATCAAGAATATGCTTATACAATAATTAATTAAAAATAACATGCTTAATGACTAATAAATTAAAAATTATCTCGCTGAATAAACCGACGTCGGTGACTAGAGCCGGAGAGAGGAGCGGCGGTGATTTGTGAGCGGGTAGTGCGGGCGTTGAGTGGGGGCGCGAGAGGAGTGACCACTAGTAAAAAAATTACTTTTTACAACGAATTTTTTTGCTACAGTAAAAAACCGTAACAAATGGTATTTTTTACGACAAGACAATTTTGAAGTTGTAATAAATATTAGGATTTACCGTAGCAAAAAAATATTTGATACGGCCATTTACCGTAGCAAAATTTTATCACGCCCGTATATGCTACGGGGAAAATTCATAGAAAATGCGCAGCAAAAGTATTTTTACTAAGAATTTGATATCTTTTGTTACGGTCAATGATCGTAGTAAAAAGCCATTTTTCTACTAGTGGGCGGCGAGAGGAGCTATGGCGACGAGAACCGAAAGGACAGTGGGAACGACAACGGGTGGAGTCGCCAACGAGAATAATTGGAGTTCTTTTTTTTCCGTCTGAAAATCTATATTGTTGTCTGTTTACGGAGATTGAGGATGATGGAGAGGGGTGGAGGGGGGGGGGGGGGGAAGAGAAATGGAGTCGCCGTTGACATTGGCGGCTTTAGCCAACGCACGAACCCCTAGGTCAGTTGTCACCACAACTAGTCGTTAGATCTTCCAAACGTTGCCCCGATCTCTAATTTGGACCGTAAAATTAATTCACATTAAAAAAAATAAGGCGAATCAAGGCGTTTATGTCAGCAGTGACAATAAATAGAGCCGCCATTGGGACTAACGACCTACCCCAATTTATTTACACTTTCGAAAACTACTCTATTTTCTTTAACAATATCATAATCTACACCTAAAAAAAATTACCCACGTTAATCTTTTTCTGGGTGCCTATGACCAATCCAAATTCCTACATGAATTAGTTTTAATTTTGTCTCCGGTGTATGGAGGGAGGTTTCCACGGCGTTTGGGGAGATGAGGTGGTTTCATGGTGAACGTACGATGAATTAACTAAGCCATTGATTTAACTTTTGTATTTTAACTAGTAATACACCCGTGCGATGCACGGGGTATTCATTGTAAAACAAATATTGAATAATAAAAAAGGTTCTCGAAATAGTAATATTAATTGTTAATAAGTAAAAGAAATAAGTAGAAAATATTCAAAAATAAAACTAATTTGTACGGTGTAAGTGATGAAATAAGTCGATATAAGTGAAAAAACTAAACATCGAAGGTTTTAATTTCCATATACAAAAGAGCGAATATATAGTTCGTCCCAAACTTGTACAACCATAATGACATGAAAGTTGAAAACTTGAATTGTTTGATACCAACCGCCCTAAACCCATGCAACAAATCCGATACAATGCAACTGTTTAATGGTATAAAATCATTGTAAAAAAATTACCAAAACAATACCAATAGAATTGACTTGCATATGTTGTACAATGGTCACACAAAATATGTAAATTGTTACCAAAACAATATCAATATCACTGTTTAATGGCATAAAATCATTGTAATAAAATTATCTTCATGATATATAGTGAGCGGAGTCCATAGCAAGTTCCTAGTACAATTAAAATAAACTTACAAATGAGGAATAACAAAACATATAAATAATAGAATATAAAGGTCGTCAATGAATATTGTAATTTTTGTATATAGAAAGACCTTCATATACGCTGAAAAACTTTCTTGTATACAACATTATTGAAGCAT